TTGTAGTAATCATATATATATATATATATATATATATATATATAATTGTTATCACAGATGGCAATCATGCTCCTGAGAAAACAATCTGGGACACGTGAAAAAATTATTAACTTCTAAACATTTGTGATGACCATTATGTAATCTTTTTAATAATTTTTTTACATGTAACTTTGCCAAGATACTCACCAGAGTTCTTACCTCTGTACTGCTATCATCAATTGATAATGGCTGAAACTCGAAGGCCATTGTCAGAAGAATAAAAAAAAGAGCAATATTTGACTAAGAACTAACTTTGACTAGTCTAAGTAGAGACCTAATGTGGCATAAGTGATTAGCCTATTGCCCTTGGTAATACTAGTGTATAGAAGTTTGGAATTAAAAAAAAAATTTTTTGAAAGAAGTTTTTGATCAAAATACAGTAAAAACAATATTGCGAAATATTATTACAATTTAAAATAACTTTATGGTTTGAATATATTTTAAAATGTAGTGAATTTTTGGCAGATTTAAATTATAATAATAATACTAAGAAGAATGCATTAATTTGATCAAAAGTGACAAAGACATCTATAATGTTACAATAGGCATTATATTTAAAATAGATGCTTATGCTATTGAACTTTCTATTCATCAAAAAATCCTGAAAAAAATGTATCACGGTTTCCACAAAAATGTTAAGCAGTAGTTTTCAACACTGGTAATAATAAGAACAATTATTAATAATTGAGAACCAAATATTAGAATGATTCTCAAGGATCATATGACACTGAAGGCTGGAGTAATGGCTGCTGAAAATTCAGATTTGCATCACAGGAATAAATTACATTATAAAAATTCTATTAAAATAGAAACAGTTCTTTTAAATTGCAATAATATTTCACAGTATTAGTGTTTTTGCTGTATTGTTGATCAAATAAACGCAGCCTTGGTGAGAATAAAAGACTTCTTTCAAAAACATTAAAAAAAAAAAAAACTTAATTATTCTAATCTTTGGTAGAGTGCCTCTGGGTTAAAATAAATTATTCCAATATTATTTAGACTCATTTTTAATTTGTAAAATATTTTGACTGACAAATACAATGCGATATATAATGTCCAAACACCGTAAATGACCAAAACAGATATCAACTTCTCTCCAAATATCCTAAAAAGTGCCTGCTTATGCAACATTAACATGCGAGAGAAGAGGCAGACTCCATCTGCATAAGAAAACACAGTAGCCAGCACTGTGACAGATAAAAGCAAATAACCCTGGTGACTGCGCTACCACACCACCAGGTGGCAGTACTACTTGAAGGTCTAATCTGGGTGGACCAGCAAAAACCTACAAATTCTGGATCCGGGCAGTTCAAACCAGCCGGAAAAGGTTCCTAAATGGGACTTCAGACATGAGAGAGTACTACAAATTCAGCAGAAAAGTCAAGCATGATTTGATTTCTTTTTCTTGTAAAGGCGCGTTCAGATACGTAAAACCATAAACACTGACATCCAAGATTCAGATCAAACAGCTCTGATTTAGTTTCAATTGCAATAGTAAGACAAAAGGCAAAAGTTCAATTTGATCATTTAACAAAAGCGGCCATAAACAAGAAATACTGCAGCTTACAGATGACAATTTTTTTTTTGTATGTTTGTTTTTTTACTCTACAACCACGTAATAAAAGGCCCTGTGCTTGTTTTGGTTTCTTAAAGATTTCTGAAGTAGGAAACAAAACCCTTGAGTTGTGAGAATAACCAAATACTTCCACCTATGTAGTGTGCACTTTACAAAGCTCTTAGACTTCTTGACAAGGAAGTGACATTGTTAAATGGATCATTGAGCTCCATCTGATTCGATTCCAACGGCCTGTGCTCCTCACAACCTCCCGGCGGTGTGCTTTCATGTAAAGTTTGAGTAAAATAATGTAACACTGTTCCATATTAGAGATCTCCGTCCTCATAAACACGTGATCCGTTACAGAGGAAAGCCTCCTTTTCCGGGGTCACACTGTCCCTGTTTAGACTGCAGGCGGGTTTGTATACACTCAGTTCCTCGTCCATCCTGGAATGGGCCAGTGTGGCTTCAGTACTATGCCAGATTCCATAGCCAAAGTAGATTATGAGTCCTGGAGAGAATAGAGGGATAATAGAACAAATTATTGACCGCATACGTGCCAAGTGCTTTTCGGGAACCCACCAGAGGACATCGTCAAATGACAAAAAGCCTTTATTTGATATTTACAATTAGCAAAACTTGTGTTTATGAGCATTTTTCAAAAGTTTTTTGTAGGGATGCACCGATAGGATTTTTTGGGGCCGATACCGATACTGATTTGAACAATTACTTATTGGCTGATTCCAATACTGATACCAGTATTTGTCACTTCCTCTCTTATTTGAAATTTTGGCATCAAAATAGATAGTATTTTGATCATTCTTTAAATCAGCAAAGTTCAAAAACACCTGCATTAAATTATACTAGCAGTTTTATTGCTGCATCATCAAATAATTTCTAATGAACATGGATTGGATCCATTTAACATTCAGCAGGCCTACATAAATACAACAGAACAAAGATACATATTAAATAAACAGTGCTTTTTAGGTGGGTTAGGTGGGTGTAAAATAACACTTCACTGTATAAATTAAATACATATTAATCCTTCTTTATTGTAACAGACTTTATTATGATTAATCTTCTAATTTGTTTTTGTATACATTTTAATATTTTTTGTAAGTTTAAATAAAGATCTCCATTACCAAGGCGGGACTCTTATTTTGACGGGTTTTCTAGTCTAC